AAGCTCATCAAGGGATCTGGAAACCTGAATTCAGGACTTGGAAAAGATCCTTAGACTGCTGATAATCAGACCTATATAGACAAATTTTTTTTTTTTTTTTTTTTAATGAAATTATTCTAGAAAAGGCAACTGAAAGGTAACATTAAGTCTTTAAAATATGTGAAAAGCCGTTCACTAAGGTTGACAGTGCAGCCATAAGAGCAAAGCAAGAAGAAATGGCTTTTAAATTGTACTGTGAAAGATTTGGTTTACCTGCCTGACCTAGGTAATAAGGTCCTACAGATACACAATGATAAAAATCACTTTGAAACTTTTTCTGTGCCACCTTCTGTTTCTCAGCCTAGAAAAAACTAAACCATCCCCTTGACAATAAACTTATACGAGTAAAATTCCAACTTGGCTACCTAAAATAAAAACTTTGGGCTGGGGATGTGGCTCAAGAGGTAGCGCACTTGCCTGGCATGCGTGCTGCCCGGGTTCGATCCTCAGCACCACATACAAAGATGTTGTGTCCGCCGAAAACTAAAAAAATAAATAAATATTAAAAAATTCTCTCTCATTCTCTCTCTCTCTCAAAAAAACAAAAACAAAAAACTTTGAGATCTCAGAAAAGACTACTCTTATGCCCCAACTTATTCTATATTAGCATAAAGATTACTTGGGACCCAGACTATATATATTCAGACTTTTTGACTAATATGCTAAAGTGAAAACATACCAATATGAGAGGAATCAGTGAAGTGAAAACACGTTTCCATTTTACAAGTATAAAATTAGCTCGATTTCAATCTGAAAAAAAAAATTGAGGAGGTATGAAGGCATTCAACAGGGCACATGACATCTACACTATATCAAGGCAGAAGAGACAACACTTTAAAAATGAGAAAATTCAGAAACCCACTGAAATTCTAAGATAAATACTATCCCCAAAACCAGGGAAATAATGTACAGATTATCTACCCTTATAAATATGGAAAGCACACATCTAAGAAACCCACACAGATTCCAAGTCAACCACAAAACAAGGGGAAACAATGTCTAGTGGTTTAAAAAAAAAAAAAAGAACCTATATTAGCTATGTGATATTTCTACATGAACTACAATCAGTTTCTGTAAAGCCAACTCTTTCAACTTTAGTAAAAGCACCTCAATGTATAAAAGTCTGATTAATTCTCCAAATATTTATTAAGTACAAACATTGTGTACCCCACCTGGCAAATATAGGTAATAGTCCCTCCTCTTATACAAAATATATACACTTTATAGAAAAACTACCCCAAAATCAATTATAACTCTTAATCATTTCTAGATAAAAGAGATGATTAACTTCTTTCCTTTCTGGCTTACTTGTAACTTCTAAGTAAGTATATTATCAATAGCTAACTTGAAGGCCATTCCCATATAGTTAATATCAAGGGATTGACTCCATTTTAGATTTTAGTCTGGGGTACAGACAGAGGAAAGATAGAAATCTTCCCAATATCAAGTTGCTGGTTTATACCAAAACATGGTGTTCCCAAGGGATGCTATGTCTAGAATCTGGGGGAATCATATACAAATCTTCTGTTTACACAAGTCTTCCAAAGAGACTAGAAATGTTTGTGTGTTGAGGGGAGGGGACAAGGTCTGAGTGGATTTGAGGACTACTAACAGTTCATCCAAGATTCTATAAAAGAGCAGTAAATTAGGGTTTGGCTAGTATTTGCTGACTACTGAAGCCAGCATAAACTTTACTTGAGGCTTTTAAATCTGTAAGGATAACCAGTAGTTAGGTACAGTAATTCTGAATCTGAAAAAAATAAACAGGCCCACTGGAATTGTTTCTAAATAAAGGTGGGGTGGAAAGGGTAGGCACATTTCCTTTGTTTTCTCCAAGTAAAACAATACAGACTTAAGAAATGCAAAATGTAATTCTTTGGTGGCATTGATCCCTATAAGTTTTTATTGCCTTCTTAAAAAATCCTTGCAATTTATATTTTTCAGAAGTTCACACACAGCTTTAAAATAAACTACTTCAATTCAAAAAACAAAGAAAAAATCTCATGCTTTCCTATGAAAACAGAAACAAATCAAACTTTCAACAATATTTAGCATTTCGATATATAAAATAGAAACCCAGGGTTGGGGTTGTAGCTCAGCGGTAGAGTGCTCGCCTAGCACAGGCGAGGCCCTGGGTTTGATCCCCAACACCACATAAAAATAAATAAAGATATTGTGTCTAACTACAACTAAAAAATAAATATTTTTTAAAAAATTTAAAAATTAAAAAAAAATAAAATAGAAACCCCACATTTCTAAATAAAATGGCGAAGATAAAAACTTTGTAGGTCACTAGCCACAGTAATATGAGAGTGGTGATTAAGCACAGAACTTGATGTTAAACATAACTCTACAATATTACTAATTACAGAGAAATTTTACCAATAAATATTTTGGTTGAAGACTGCTTTGTCATCTTTGCAAGTATTTTTAGTTGAAAGCAAGTGTTGGGTAGTACACGTGGACATGGTTCTGATTTTTAAATATCTATTTTTACATTCTGGTCACTGGTTTTCTAAACTCAATTCTTTAGAACTGGTAATTTGGAAAGGGTAAACCACAAGATCATTATGCTAAAAAGCAAAAAAACCTAACAAGCTCACCAACTCAGATCAGTACAAAGCTAACTTGGAAAGGTCAGAGTTCTCACATCTAACCATGGGCCCTTAAAGTCACTAACTCCTGAAGAATGTGTCTGTAAGTGGGCAAGCTATATTAAAGTTAGGTTTCCAAATACAGCAAGAGCTTCCCGTTTCTTTGTTTTCTATTTGCAGTAACTTTTTGGTGGGCCACCCCTTCAGATTTTTCCTCTATATCTCCAAATTTGCTTAAATTGGACTTAAATTTCAGATTTTAAAATATGCACACCTAATTGCTGCAAAACATCCCATATTGTTTTCTACACTGAATAGCAAATATTTTACTGAAATTCTAGTAGGGTAAGTGATTTTTAATCTTTTCAAATAAACCCCCCCCCCATCCAATTTAGATCTCAAAGAGTATGAGCATTGGTGGCTCGATTCATCTACACATTTTCTTTCCAGACTTTTTGCATACAGTAGAAAAACTACTTCTAACAGAGGTAACAGATAAAGAACTGTTATGACTAGGTCTTTCTTTAAGAGGGGTGTTTTTAAAAGGAAAGAAAACTGTCCCCTCCTATTACTCTTAATGAGCAGCCTCTTGTTCTCAGCAGTCAGTCTGCACACAAGACCACTACTGACTTCAGTGGGAATTCTGCCCAAGAAGTGAGGAAGACAGGATAGGATTAAATTAGCCCTAAATCCACAGCATTGTTCCAAACCATTACCACTTGTACAGTTCTCCAATAACCTCCAAAGAGTAGAAATCTGAGGCTTGAAGGTGGTTTTCAAATTGTAGAAATGATTATTCCAGCTCTGACAGGTGACACAGCATAGCTCTTTAAAAGTTGCGTCAAACTCGCAGCCTGATGGAGGGACTGGTTGGCCCTTATCACAATCCAACAATGACAATACAATGCAGTCTCAACGTGACTGCAACAGCAAGCCAGTGATTTCTTACAGCAAAAGACTGCCAAGGGAAACTGAAAAGAATTTATGCACTATTAGTTCTTAAGAGATTGAGGATTCTAAATCCCAGTTTCCCAAGCCAAAAAACTGATTCAGTTTGCTTCCAGTGCTAAGCCCAAGAGGAAAGGTGACAAGACAGTAACTAAATGCTGATTCTCAATACAGTGTTGTACATAAAGAATACACAAACAATGTATTCTGATGAGAGAACAAAACAGGAGGAGGAGATAAAGAAGGGACTGAAAAAAATAAGAATGAAAGAAAACTAAAACTCACGAAAAGAAAAAAAAAAGAAAAGCTTAAATAGCAGTAACAAAACGCCTGGCACACACATACCATTTCATATGCAATAAGTTCAAGAAACTAGGAAAAGATGTGATTCGGATAAGAGAAAATATATTCACAGCTCCTCTCGGTTCCACCTTCCCTCCAACCCACCCAGGGTCTTAAACGTGGAGACAGCTGTTGTGGTGACAGGGAAATTAAAGGCATTCTCCAGACGACTGTAGAAAGGCCTCCACACAGAGACCCCTCCCCTTATAATTAACAAGCAAACCTCACCAAAAGAACTTGACCTTAGGGAGGCTGGCATCTGGGAAGTATGCCGACTAACGTCCACCACAGGCGTCGGGCTGCTGGAGGCAACGTCTCCGACGCCAATTTCAATCCCGTCGGCTCCTTATTTTCTCCTCCTGGTCCTTCCCCTGCACCTCACCTAAAAATGCTCCCAACCCTCCGCCCCCAGCGCAGGAGGAGAAAAAGCGGCCATCTGTGGTGAGGTAGCTGGGTGTCGGAATTTTAAGGGTCGAACGCGCGTCCCTGTCGGCTGCCGCCAGCCCACTCCGGGCCGACCGCGCCGCCCTCACCACTCCCCGCAATCCCCGCGCGCGCGTCCGGCCCGCGTGTCCCCTCCCCAAACCATCCTCCAGAAGAGCGCCGCCGCGCCAAGTCCCCGCAGTCCCCGCGCAGGGGATGGAGCCGGATTCCTCCGCTGCTGCTCCAGGGGCCCAGACGCGTGACCCTGAGCCCACCTCACCCGGGACGGGGGAGGGACGGCGCGGTCCTCACCACGCCTCCACCTCTGCAGACTCTGCGGGGAATGAAGAGAGGACCACCGCAGAGGAGCGGAATCCGGCCTGGAGCAACAGGATGCGGACCCTGCGGCGCAGGAGAGTCGCGCTGATGGAGTGGGGGGAGAGAAGAGAGGAAGCCGCAGAAAATCCCAAAGCTAGTCCCCCTCCCCCGCCTCCGGGAGAGACCGTCCCGCCACCGCTTCCTGCCCGGGATCAGCTTCCCAGCTACAGCTAAAGGAAAAATCCGAGCCGCCCCTGCAGATCCGCAGAGACTAGTTGCCCGGGCCGGGACCCGCGCCCCAAACCTGCCATTTCGCAGCCCCGATCGCCTCCTTACCCCAACGCCGCACCTCAGGAGCTCACCGGCCTGGGGGACCCGTCCCGCGTCAGTCCCAGCCAGCCGCGGGCCAGCGCGCCAGCCTCCTCCCTCCGCTAGGTTTCAAATTGAAATTCCCTGGCTGGGGCCGTCAGAGGACTCGGCGTGCCGGCCCCGCCCCCTGGCGGCGGAAGCCCCTCCCGCGCCCCTCCGCCGCGCCCCGGGCGCGGAAACCCCCGCGGGCAAGTCACGCCCCCTTCCCGCAGGCCACGCCCCACTCCGGCCACCGACAGGGACCCTTCCCGCGGGATTTGCGGAGCTCCGCCACCCAGCACTGTGCTGGGGCGGCGCGTTTCGTCTTTGAGCCGCCCCGGATAATGACAGCTATTGCGTTTGTGCAAGGCGTTCTTGCTTCGAATCCTGGCCTTAAATGCCCTCTCAACTTTTAAAAGTTATTTCTTCAAAGTGCATTCACTGCCTAAACCTTCACTGAGCTCCTGTTCCGTGGTACACTGTAAAGTAGGTCCAGGAGACACATAAAAAGGAAAACTGGGTCCGCTCAGTCTAGAGTGAAAGAAGTGCTTTCACTGAAAAGACTTGAAAAGGAACCATTTATTCTTCCTGTGAGAGGGACAGGAGGAATTGGGGAAACCCCATGGAGGAGGGACATTTATGCTCAGCCTTGACAGTGAGTAGGATTTCTCCAGGCACAGGCCTGGGAACCTGGATTGTAAAGCATGACAGGCCTGAAGCAGTGTCTGGAAAAAAAAAAAAAAAAACTTATTTTGCCAAATTGTGGAAGGACACACACAAACACGCGGGATAGCCTCCTCTAGTTCTTTTCTTTTGCACAATTAGACCATTATCTCTTAGAATCTACTTATTTCATCTTTTCTGAATACTTCATTCATGTCAGACTGGTGTCAGGGTGCCCAGCTCACTGACTCCAGAATCTACCACACAGGTAACACTTTTCTGCTTCCTCCCACCTCAAGTGAGATCTTCAGTGATCCATCTCTGTCAAAGTCTCCTTTTCTTTCCTAAACTTAACCTTTTTAAAATTAAATGTCAAAGGAAGCCTCAATAACAATACTTGCCATATGTTTGATGCTTTCCAGGTAACAAAACACACTCATTTTATCATTTGATTCTCACAATAACCCTGTGAAAAAGGGAGGGCAGGTATTATCCCCATTACATCAAAAGGAAAGAGCTGGGAAGATAAATTATCTGGTAAGATTCTTTGATAAACAATAAAAGTAATAGCTAATATTTATTATGTGCTTTGTGTGTGAGGCATTGTTATAAATCCCTTCCATGTGTTGATTTTATCACAATCCCACACGTTAAGTACACAATTAAATTATGTTAAATTTAATGAGGTGTGCTAAGAGAAAAGAATCCTAATAACAAAGTTCTAGCAAAGGGCTGGGAATTTGCGTTGGTTTTTAGTTACTATGACAAAATATCTAAGATAACTTATAAAGAGGAAAGATTTATTTTGGTTCACAGTTTCATAGGTTCTAATCCATGGTCACCAGACCCTTGTTGCTTAGGCCCATGGCAAAACAAAAAATTATGGAGGGGAATGTAGTGGAGCAGAGCGGCTCACCTTATAGCTGACAGTGAAGCAAAAAGAGAGCAAGAGGAAGGCGCCAGGGTCCCAGGAGCCCCTTCAAGGGCAAGCCCCTCTTGATGTACTATGTCCTACGAGGCCCCCACATCCTAAAGTTTCCACCACTTCCCAATAGCAACATCAGTTAGGAACCATGTTTTCAACATATGAGCTTTTGGAGGACATTTAAGACCTAAACCATAGTAGAATTTTATGAAATAATACTATTGTGAAATTTGAGGCAGATTTACAATTAAATCAAATATTTGTAATTTTATATTTCTTTTTATATTATAAAGGGTTCCTAAAGTCATACAAGTGGGTTTTTGTTTGTTTGTTTGTTTGTTTGTTTTCACATTTGTGTTTTGGTTATTGGTTTCCTTTTGTTTTTAAAGGGGGTGGGGGGGTCTCACTATTCTGCCCAGGCTGGCCTTGAACTCCCTGACTCAAGCAATCTTCCCTCCTCAGCCTTCCAAGTAGCTGGGACTCCAGGCATGCACCACCACAACTTGCTTAGTCATGTAGGTTTTAGGGCCCCATGAAATCTCCATCCATCCAGGATAAAACTTATTTAAAATAATAAAAATAATTTAAAAACCTATATAAATAGTAAAAAAATATGCATAATAATGAAATATAATGCCCATGTCATAGGAAATGAGATCCAGGTAATATTCTCTGTTGAAGTGTGTAAATTGCTTTTTTTTTTTTTTTTTTTGGTATCAGAGATTGAACTCATAGGCTCTTAACCACTGAACCACATCCCATCCCTTTATATAAGTTACTTAGGGCCTTCCTAAGTTGCTGAAGCTGGCTTTGAACTTGTAATCATCTTGCCTCAGGCTTCCAAGTCACTGGGATTATAGACCTGCAGTGCCATGCCCAGCTGCAAATCACTTCTATATGCCACTTTCTAAGAAGCATAAACTAATCTACATTCATAAGTGAATGACCTTGGTAATGTGGGAACCAACAAGATATAACCTAAAGAGATAAAGTTCATTAAAAGATTGTTATCAAATGTATAATATGTAAGGGCTATATTATGTGAAAGAAAAAATTAAGACTCCTTGTTTTGGACATAGACTTACATGGCTCCAACATTTCAATGGAATAAGAGGATTCAGAGGCAGAACCTGGGGGTTAAAAAAAAATCAAGTTTCAGGAGCTATAAGGATATGAAGGAATAAACAGGTGGAACGTGGTATATAGAGATGTTGGCAAACAACATGTGGTAGTCCAGACAAGCAGAGAAAGCTAACAGGGAAAGAAAGGAGGACAAATTCCTGAACAGGTGATATTCAGAGGTGCAAGCAGGTTGAGATACTGGCAGAACAACCAGGCTACAGTTCAAGGGCAGAATATTAATCCCCATGATAACAATTTGATAAGAATGAGACTGGGGCTTCCCACTAGATAAATTGTAGTAATAGTCAAGGGACTAACAGAACAAAACAGGAATCTAGTAACAGACCTGGGAGTCATCCATATTTAGCATCATAGCCTCAATCCTAGATACCGCCTACAAGCAAAGTCAGTCTGGCAGTGCAGACTAGAAATTTACTCAATCTCCCTAATTCCCTTACTTAGCAACACAGTGGCAGAGGCTTGGCCCCTGAGAAGGTGTGATATCACTATATTTCATCTTTTACCTTTGTGCCTCTGGATGACAAACCCATCTAGATGGAAGTATTAAAGTGGCACTGGGGACTTGAGATATAGCTCAATTGATAGAGTGCTTGCCTCACATGCACAAAGCCCTGGGTTCAACCCCCAGCACCAGAAAAAAAAGAAAAACAAAAGTGGCACTGGGTTGAAAGCCACCCTTTGTTTTGCTTTGCATGGTCCAATGGCAAGAAGAGTATACTCTCTTACTCTGTCTGATTATCAAGCTTCACTGTGAATGTGTGAAGTCCTAGTTCCCCTGCCATGAGCAACAAAGGTACCACAGAGCTGGGTATAATACCAGAGACTGCAGAGGCTGAGGCAGGAGGATTTCAAGTTTGAGGCCAGTCTCAGCAACCAGTGAAGACCTAAGCAACTTAGCAAGACCCTGTCTCAAAATAAAAAATAAAAAGGGCTTGGGATGTGGATCAGTGGTAAAGAGCCCCTAGGTTCAATCCCCAGTTCAAAAGAAATTGCACAAGCACCCTCGTAGGAGTCACTCTTTCACCTGGCCTATCTTTGAAACCGTTTTTTGTTGGCCTATAATAGTCCAAAACTTGGTGACTAAAAACAATTATTTTACTGCTCAGTGTTCTCTAGGGCAGAAATTCAAAGCAGGACTGAAAAAAATGGCTCTTCTTGGCTCCATGTAGTGTCAGCTGGGAGGCACATTTGTGGGTAAAGGACCTAAGAGGGCTTCACTCACATGCCTGACAATTGCTACTAGCTGTTAACTGAGATACCTAATTTCTCTGCCATGTGGACCATTCTGGTTTTAATATGAGATGTCTCACCAAAACTAATGTTCAAATGATTTGATTATGAGAGATTGATGCACTGATATGGATTAACTGGGCAGTAACTAGAAGCAAGTAGGGTGTGGCTGGAGGAGGTGGGTCCCTGGGGGGTGGGCAAACCTTTAGAGTTTATATTTTTTTCCCTGGTTAGCAGAGCGCTCTATTTCCTGCTTGCCATGTCTTAAGCTACTTTCCTCTCCATGGACTTTCACCATGCTGTTCTGTCTCCCTCAGGCTTTGAGCAATGGAGTTGGCCATATGTGGACTGACACCTCTGAAACGGTGAGCCCCAAGTAAACTTTCCCTCCTTTAAAATTTTCTTGTTGGATCTTTTGAACACAGTAGCAAAAAAGCTAACTAAAACATGGACTCTCATCCTCACAACGGGTGTGGGTATGTGTGTTTCTGACTGCGTCTATCTCTGCCACTGTCTCTCTCATTTTATATGGACCTTTCTTTATGTAGCACCTGATTTCCAATAGAATAAAAGCAAAATCTGCAAGTTCTCAAGGATTAACCCCAGAAGTCATACAGTATCATATGTGTCCCATTCTATTGGTCAGAGAACATCAGAGGACCAGCCTCAATTCAAAAACAAGGATCATAGACTTCACCTCTTTATAGTAGTGGAATGTGTATACAGTGGTGGGAAAAAATATTAGCAGCCATTTTTGTGAACAATTCACCACAGACACCTGCTCTTCTAGTCAAGCATTAGAGACTACCCTCACTGGATGAGATGGAGCACTCCTGTAATTCCAGGCACCGGGGAGGCTAAGGCAGGAGGATCACAAGTTCAAAGCCAGTCTCAGCAATTTAGCTAGGCCCAATGCAACTCAGTGAGACCCTGTCTTTAAATAGAATACAAAAAAAAAAAAAAAGCTGGTGATGTGGCTCAGTGCCCCTGGGTTCAATCCTTCATACTAAAAAAAAAAAAAAAAAAAAAAAAAAAAAAAAAAAAAAAGACTACGCTCTTCTCATTTCCATCTCCAGCAACATTTTCCACAGGGTTTCCATCAAAAACATCACAAGTTCCCTTTTCCATCTAAATTACTGTAAGTAATGGCAAGCTCCTTTTGAAAAACCACTATGGG